CGACCCCTACATCGCTGTGGTGGCAGGGGCCCTGGCCACCTGCAACATCCCTCTGGCCTTCCTGGAGCCCACCATCGCCAACTGGATGAAGGAGTCCATGGGGGCCAGCGAGTGGGAAGTGGGCCTCACCTGGCTGCCCGCCTTCTTCCCCCACGTGCTGGGCGTCTACGTCACCGTCCGGCTGGCCGCCGCGTACCCTCACCTCCAGTGGTTTTACGGGGCCCTGGGCATGGCCATTATCGGCGCCAGCTCCTGCCTGGTGCCAGCCTGCAGGAATTTCGGGCAGGTCATCGTTCCCCTCTGCGGCATCTGCTTTGGCATCGCCCTGGTGGACACGGCCCTGCTGCCCACGCTAGCCTTCCTGGTGGACGTGCGACACGTCTCTGTCTACGGCAGCGTCTACGCTATCGCAGATATCTCCTACTCTGTGGCGTACGCCCTGGGACCCATCGTGGCCGGCCAGATTGTGCACACCATGGGCTTTGCACAGCTCAACCTGGGCATGGGGCTCGCCAACGTGCTTTACGCCCCTGTCCTCCTGTTCCTCAAAAACGTCTGCCAAATGAAACCCTCTCACTCGGAGACGAACATCCTCCTTGAAGAAGGACCTAAGGGACTCTACGACACCATCAAAATGGAGGAACGCAAAGGCATAGGCAAAAGCCACCGGCCAGCAGGCGAGACGGAGGAGAACGGTATGGACTCCTACCGCAGAGACCTGACAGGGGTGTCTGAGGAGGACTCGTCAGACTATGAGTACAGTTAGGTTCCCCCACGCAGCCCAGCCCCAGGAGCAAGGAGGAGCGTGTGGGAGAGAGGGAAAGGGGGGGATGAAAATGTTATTGCGTTATGTTTCTGTACCGATGTGCAATATATACAGTTTAACCTTTGTCATGATGTAATGGCTTTCTTCTTATAGACTTATTTTTAATCAATATTTCGTTCAGCATTCTGGCAAGGTGGAGCGGGTGGGGAATGGGGGAACAATTCTGAAGAAAATAATCATTGGCATAAATCTGAGGAGGGGTATTAAAAAAAAACCACCAACAACAAAACAAAACAAAAAACCCAGCCTTGTAGCTGGGGTATAATTGTGCAAAGTTTTCTCAAGCTGAAACTGCGTGACATACTGTATATCTCTGTAAAAAATATAAGAAAAGCAAAAAAGTCTGTGTAAAATTTCAAATGGCATATTCAGGGACTTAGTAAATCTTGTGTACATATACTTAGATTTTCAGTTGGTTTCATATATTTAAGAAGAGCAACTATCACAACATCTTATTCTTCCTTGGGAATAAACTGAAGTATTGTACTTTTTTTTCTCTCTTGTGCTGCTCTCTGGTAAGTGCAATATGCTGTATTATGTTGAAGTCCAAACTACAAGAACAATACGATCTGAATAAACGGAATTGAAGGGGATCGATTGTCTTTGTTTCATTGTTGAGGGCTGCTTGAGGGAGGGAGCTGGTTAGTGCTCAGTGTAACCCCTACGGTAACAATTCCTCATACCACAAACCTCATCGGTTACCAAAATCGCCCAGGAGAAAACCCCGGTACAAAATGTTCCCATTCATTCTTCAAAACATATGTTAACAGATCCGAGCAAACGACATTGCGCTGCAAACATGCTATTGATTGCATAAAAACAGCTCCTCGTATTCTCATGTGAATTTAATTTTAATGCTCACAATTATGAGTTTCAATTTTCGAATATTCCAAAAATTACGTTTCCAGCAGTTAGAAACACAACACGAAAACACCTTTCTTGGTGCTGAATGCTGCCCCAATTGCAACGTGCCCGCCTCAATGTAGCCGACAGGGATTAAACAAAACAAAAGATGGGTGAAGTGCTTCATTCAAACCTTTGCAAAAAGCCGAAACCTTCGATCCAACCAGAATGGAACCAGAGTGCATATTTTGCCCTGTAAATTTATCTTGATATAAAATAAAATCGTTTATTTAAATTCCTAGCTCATTAAGAAACAAAATAAATGACTTACAATCTCAAGAGGGGAAAAAAAAAA